GCCATGATCTCCTCTCAGCCTCAGGAGTTTGAAGGGATGCTCTCCACTGTCAAACATGAGATCATCCATGCTCTGGTAAGAATAGTTTATCCTTCGGGGATTGACCACCTGACTTTGATAGATGTACGCGCCATATCTTACTTACTTAACTCTCGCCAAGTATGTTCTTGACATGAACACAGGAAAGTATGGACTCTGGGAGACCGGGGTACACCGAATAAATCTGGGTGAATCGGAACAGAAGGGTACTCGTGACGTCACCACACGCTCGGCTCGTCTGGAGCTGCGTTTCACCTCCTGTTAATAATAGCTTCTAGATGATAATAACTTTATTACTTTTTTCATCTAGTGGGGGAATGATAATTAACACATTAACACAAATAAAATTAACTTTTTGTCGAATTAAAATGAAAACACCTTCAGAGCAAATAGTACTTCACACTTTGCTATGCTGAGTGAGGGCTGCTGCAGACAGGCTAACGTTAGCCTCGGTTAGCCCCGGTTGCTCTCAACAGCGAGCTGGTCGCTCTCTGTTTAATTTAGTGCGTATTAAATTAGTAAATAGGCCAACAGTGAAGCTCAAAGGTATAATTTCCTCGCCTCAAATAATCTTAAAACTTAATTTTGTAGAACCACAGCAACAGAATAGTGAACTTTTAACTTAATATTGAAGTCTGTTAGTGCTTCCCTGAAAGCTGTTGCTGACGTGGTGCATGCTGGGACATGTGTCAGTCCTGAGAACGCACAGTGCTGCTCTGATGCTTGCTGGGTAAAGAGGGAGGGGTGATAACAACTTACAGGGACTTGGTCCATTCTCTGTCGTGTTCTTGTGAATTGGAACAGTGCTTGGACTAAAGACGTTTCACGAGCACACGAGAACATACAAGTACGAATATTGAAAAACGGCCTCTGTGTTTATCTTCGTCACTCTGTTTACTAGAGCTGTCATCTACGTAAAGTCACACTAATGGGAAGGTCTAAGTTTGAGTGTTGGAAACTGCAGATTTACAGCAGTCGTTATTAAACAATAATGGAGTCAAAAAGTAAAAGCTTTGTGCAGAGGTGGTTTGTACTTTATTTGTTAAAGTTAAAGTTTTTTTTACCCGATAAATCCTCTTCTACGTCCCTCTGATGATAATCTAAATGTTTAAGGGATGGCAGGGGGGGGGGTCTGACATCTTCCCCTATGGTCTTGAGTTGGAAACTCGTACTTCCTGTGTAAGCGACTCTGAACAGCCTCTGGCTTCAGAAGGTGATTTTATGACATCAGTCCTCTGCAGCTGATGGGCACCCAGAGGACAGTCAGTGTTTACGACGGTGCTATTTTCTAAAGGTCCTGTTATTCACAGTTATTAACTGGAGAATTAGAAGCCATATCATTTTCCAGTTTTCCTTTCCTCTTGAAGATAGAAGCTCAAGCTTGTTTACGCCCTACTGTAGTCATAGTCCAGCTACATTTAATGCAGGTTTGAGAGGCTTTAACTCCTAGATTTGTATGTCGTCACTTTTTTTTTTTGTTTCCGTCCATCAGGGGTTTTCAGCTGGGCTGTTCGCCTTCTACCACGACGACGAGGGCAAACCTCTGACTCCTCGCTTCGCCAGCGGCCTGCCTGCGTTCAACGAGAGGTAAAACTGGAAAAAAACATCTCCTTCCAGTGGATTTCAGGCCTCTGATCTGATCTGTTGTCCAAGATGCAAACCATGTATCTGCTCCTGCTTGTAATGCTTTTCATCAACTGGCTGTTTTATGAAGTTAGTTGGATTTGCAGGCTGTTATCAGCCAGTTTCCTCCAGAGATGCTGCCAGCTCTAACCTTGAATGTCAAACCTGTCGTTCAGCCTGGGCTTGTATCAATGGAGCGAGGCGGTAATCAGGAGAGTCAGCAGACTGTGGGACATCAGAGGAGGAGAGATGGTGCGGCACCATGTGCACGTCATGGTCACTCCTCGTGTTGTGGTAAGGAGCCGCCTCTATGACTCACACATTCAGCTTACAGCTGTTAGTAATGCTGTCAATTATCTGTTTTAGAGCTTTTTCAGCTTATTTTGCAATATACAACAACTGTCTACAGTATTAAAGTAGTTTTCTTTGAAGATTTCCACATTACGAGCACAAAATCCTGTTATATTCACCAAAAAACACAAACTTGTCCTCAGTTAGAAAGAGAAGAAACAGGATTTTGGTCAGTTTTTAAAGGATGTTCCAGGTCTCTAATTCTGATACGTCTGAATAAATGCAGCACAGCTGTTCATAGGAAAACTATTCTCACATCTCCTCCTGCTGAACTCCATGTGGATTATGAGTCCTCCTCACTAATCAGCCAAAGTGTCAAAAGTATTCATGTTTATTACTCAATTAGAAGTAGAAATATTACTGTTTAAAAATACTTTTGTAGAAGTTAGAGCATCAACTTTTAAGTACTATTTTTAAAACTACTTAATATATAAAAGAAATATTGGAAAGATGCCTTATTGCACTACCTTAAAGGAAAATTTTTCCACAATTATGCATGATAACTTCCTTATACTTAATTTTCTTGGTTTTATAACTAATGGCAATATTTTCAAATTTAACTTGAAACATTATTTATTTCTGTACGCTGTGAACAACAAGTTGGTGCAGCACAGAGTCCAACCAAAAAGAAATACATTTTCTGCATGAAACAGATTATTCTGATTTTATTTTTTTATACCAATAGGCCGTAATGAAAATCAGGTTAAATTAAACAAAACTAACCAGTTTATTTTTAAAATGTAAGGAGTAAAATGTAGAGATAATAGCTAAAAAAGATATAGGGAGTAGAAGTAAATGGTTGTCTAAATAATAATTACTTCTGTAAAGTATTGATAGTCAAAATTTCGACTTCAGTGAGGTAACAAAGTATCTGTACTCTCTTACTGGAGACCTCTGCTCATCAGATCGTTTATAGAAGTGTGACAGCACTAGTTTCACTATTAAAGAGGAAAATGTGGAAGAGGCAAAGATAAACAACAACAGCATCCTCACCTGTGTAACACGGTGGTGGCAGCGTCATGTGGCAGTATGTAGTGTTTTAGAAAGCTGTGGATTTGGCTAAAATACAGCCTTCACCTTCCAGGTCGACAGTAACCCTAACAGAGCTGCAGTTGAACCGGATGATTTTAAGATTTTTGGCAAAATGTTTAGTCTGTAGGTGTAAAAAAAAAAAAAAAAAAGGATACACAGCATAATTTCTAGTTTTCTTAGCTTCTGTGTATAATTTTCCTTCCATGTTGCAATAATGTGTTGAGAGCAGAGGAAGTTTTGGCCTGGATGTAATTTAGGTAACTGCTTGTATCCCTCCTGCAGGAGGAGGCGAGGAGGCACTTTGACTGTCCCATCCTGGAGGGGATGGAGCTGGAGAACCAGGGAGGAACAGGAACTGAACTCAATCACTGGGAGAAGCGGCTGCTGGAGGTGAGAACCTGAACCCTCCTTTGCTCAGAAAGCTGCTGAACTTGTTGCTTTTTCTCACGGTTCGGTTGGACTCCTTCCAGAATGAGGCCATGACGGGTTCCCACACCCAGAACCGGGTGTTTTCTCGCCTCACGCTGGCCATCATGGAAGACAGCGGCTGGTACCGGGCCAACTACAGCATGGCTCAGAGGCTGGACTGGGGCCGCGGCCTCGGCTGCGACTTCGTCATGAAGAGCTGCAAGTTCTGGATGGAACGGCAGAGACGGAGGTCATTTACCCTCCTCTGCATGAATGTTTATGTCTTTTTCAATAACATTGGCAGAACTGATCTTAATCAGCATTATTTAGTGCAGTTCTTTAGCTAAAAGCTGCTTACCAAGCAGAAATGATCAGGATGAACTTTCTGAGTCTGCCAAGAAACTTTCTCTTAACTTTTTTTGTGCTTTGACATTTTCCAGAGTCTATAATGTAACACATGATTAAGCTTCAGTGTCTCATGTTCTTACTGTCGTTGGCAGGCGACACCCGGTGACCCCGTTCTGTGACACGGTGCGGGCCTCTCCTCTGCAGCTGACCTGCAGACAGGACCAGCTGGCTGTGGCTGTCTGTAACCTGCAGAAATACCCCCAACAGTTACCCCTGGAGTACCAGGTGGGTACAACTAGGAAACCTGTTCAGGGGACAAGTCATCCAGGTTCTTTTTTTCCCCAATGTTTCTTGCTGTAAATTGTGTAAAAAGCACTGTTCTAACCCACTAGGCAAACACTCCCCTATATTGTCAGAGAGATGTCACCATTTAAACAGTATTTTTAAGGTCCTAAACAGATGGAAATGCTTATTTTTTTTGTAAATACCGCTTAGGATAGTATTTAGGTTTGTCTTCCAAGACACACGTTTTTTTCTGGGTTTTTTTATATCTTGTTTTATGTTTTAATTAGAGCCTGGCGATATAGCTAGAAAATGAAATTAATAGTTTTTTTATTCCTTTTGGTTTCTCTTAATAAATAAGAGAAACCAGCTTTAATTTCAGACATCCATATTTGGAGTTGAGCTGAATTCAAAGTGCTACTAAAACCAAGCTGCAGAAAAACATGTTTGTAAAGCAGGTTTGCAGCCTTTCTGCTGTAAACAGAGAAATCATGTCACACAGCTTTACACAGTGAGCTACTTTAGAAGAACAGAAAGTGAAAAAATTATCGTCACTCTGAACTATGGAAGCCCAAGAAGTATATTAGTGAAAACAAGAAATTATGACTTTATTCAAGTAATGTTTAATTTTTTTTTGTCTTGTAATATTAAAAAGTGTGACCATAATACTGTGTTGTATGAACACTATAAAGCTGCTGGATGTAGTTATTTGCTGCTTTGGGATTTTTTCCTAAAAGAAAAGGCATTTAGAACTTCCTCTGATGCTGAACTGTTAAAATCTTCTTCCAGAATTTAAGCACATTCCTCGTTTTCTGTTTCTTGGCGTCAAAAGTAAAGGATAAATCTGGAAGAGCTTTTTATTTTTGCTACTAAATCTTATAATGTCAGAAATGTCTGCATTAACCCTCCAAAGGTTTTAAATCGTAACCACGATTACTATTCGAAGATGTTTCTATCCTTTTTTGATCCTTTCTTCTGTACTCTACTACCCCCAAATCACTGAACCACAGCAGCATCACTGCTACTATAGACGGATGCTCTCAGCATCAGTGGATGCAGCCATCCCAAAATGACCCTCATCTATTTTTTGAACCCACCTGGGAAATCACAGAACTGACAGCCCAGTTGTTTGATGAAGCAACTTGATGCTCTGAAAGGATCATCAGAAAAAGAATTAGCTTAAACTGGGCCTTCTTTTTACTTATTTGCATCCAGAGCAATACTGTACATATTCCCACACTTCAAGGTCTTCACTCTACTCCATAAGAATTTGTGAATATGTGAAGTTTAGATATTTTATCAATGAAATCGCCTGTTAAATGTAAACATACCTAAAACAGCTCATTGATGAACTATATGGTAGTTTTCTACAGAGTTTATCATCAGATAAAGATCAGAATAAGGTCCCCTGGTTATCACTGTGCAGAAACAGAACAAACTGACTGCTTTGTTTTTGGTCAGTATTTCGATCAGATCCCTGATGTCTCGGAGGATCAGCTGTCGTCCTTCGGGGGTGCTGTAGAGATTGCTGATTTCTGCCCCTTCAGCCAGGAGTTCAGCTGGCATCTCAGCGGAGAGTATCAGAGAAACTCGTACTGCAGAGTATCAGAGAACCAGCCAGGTAGTTTCATCGTATTCATAAGGTTCAAATAAAATCCCACTTGAAAGAAATCTGTGCTTATAGATGAGCTGAGATAATCAAACTGTGTTTGTGTTCAGACTGGTGGAGGAATTATGGAGCGGAGCAGTACGGCCCGCACTCTGTGTGTCTGTACCAGAGGTCCGCCTTCGTCATGGAGCAGTGCACCAGGAAGATGACCTACCCAGACTGGGGCTCTGGATGCTACAAGGTGCAGTCAGTTTAAGGCTGAGCAGGGATTTAAACTTATAGCACAAAGAAAACCTTGCATTTAGCGGGTTTTAGGGTTTTTCCAACTTCTCCATCTTGACTTATTAATTGTTCACAGTAAATATACACTCACCAACCACTTTATTAGGTACACCTGTCCAACTTCTCGTTAATACTTAATTTCTAAGCAGCCAATCACATGGCGGCAGCTCAGTGCATTTAGGCATGTAGACATGGTCAAGACAATCTCCTGCAGTTCAAACCGAGCATCAGTATGGTGAAGAAGGGTGATTTGAGTGACTTTGAACATGGCATGATTGTTGGTGCCAGAAGGGCTGGTCTGAGTATTTCAGAAACTGCTGATCTACTGGGATTTTCACGCACAACCATCTCTAGGGTTTACAGAGAATGGTCCGAAAAAGAAAAAACACCCAGTAAGTGGCAGTTCTGTGGGCGGAAATGCCTTGTTGATGCCAGAGGTTAGAGGAGAATGGCCAGACTGGTTCGAGCTGATAGAAGGGCAACAGTGACTCAAATAACCACCCGTTACAACCAAGGTGGGCAGAAGAGCATCTCTGAACGCACAGTACGTCGAACTTTGAGGCAGATGGGCTACAGCAGCAGAAGACCACACCGGGTGCCACTCTTTTCAGCTAAGAACAGGAAACTAAGGCTACAATTTGCACAAGCTCATCGAAATTGGACAATAGAAGATTGGAAAAACGCTGCCTGGTCTGATGAGTCTCGATTTCTGCTGCGACATTCGGATGGTAGGGTCAGAATTTGGCGTCTACAACATGAAAGCATGGATCCATCCTGCCTTGTATCAATGGTTCAGGCTGGTGGTGGTGGTGTCATGGTGTGGGGAATATTTTCTTGGCACTCTTTGGGCCCCTTGGTACCAATTGAGCATCGTTGCAACGCCACAGCCTACCTGAGTATTGTTGCTGACCATGTCCATCCCTTTATGACCACAATGTACCCAACTTCTGATGGCTACTTTCAGCAGGATAATGCGCCATGTCATAAAGCTGGAATCATCTCGGACTGGTTTCTTGAACATGACAATGAGTTCACTGTACTCAAATGGCCTCCACAGTCACCAGATCTCAATCCAATAGAGCATCTTTGGGATGTGGTGGAACGGGAGATTCGCATCATGGATGTGCAGCCGACAAATCTGCGGCAACTGTGTGATGCCATCATGTCAATATGGACCAAACTCCCTGAGGAATGCTTCCAGCACCTTGTTGAATCTATGCCACGAAGAATTGAGGCAGTTCTGAAGGCAAAAGGGGGTCCAACCCGTTACTAGCATGGGGTACCTAATAAAGTGGCGGGTGAGTGTAGATACATCCTGGAGGTCAAACAATGCTTGCATGCATTCAGCCGTGTCGCATGCATCGCTGCTTCCTCTATTTGCCATTCATTCTTAATGTTTAGTTTGATCTGTTAATAAATGTTTCATTTTTGTTTAGATGGAGACCTGTGTAACATTTATCTTAGTCTTGCTTTTTTTTAAATGTAAATAGAGGAAGGGAAAACAACATCTGCTTCAGAAAACAGCCCCAAAAACTGAGCAGCACATACTGGGTATCAGTTTGTTAGTTAGTTTCTTGTAAATGGAAGAAAATCAAGTTTTGTTTCAGATAATCTGCTTTTAAGGATAATGATCTGATTCACTGATGAAGCTGCAGAAGATTCGGCAACTAGAGGTTGGACTAGAGGCTCCCTTAAGACCGCGTACTTCAGGCTTAAATAAAACCTGCTCCACCAGGTTGGGCACCCTCCTTCATCAGTGTTTCGATGACTAGCCCCCGACATCTCCAGAGGGGGGGACCACCTGGCGTCCCGGTTTACTCAGATCAAAGATCTAGAGTTCTGGCTTTAGATCTTTGATCTAGAGCCACAACCACTGGAAAGGGAGCTGAAGGTCTGTTGCCGAGCTTGGCCTTGGATCCCCAGATCTTTGAGCAGTCTGGTTATTAATCTGCCCAGCAACCGCCTGCAGCCGCCCTCAACCACGTAAACCCTGGTCCTCCATCTGTGCTGTTCTGCATCAGCTGCAGTATTTAGAGCTCCTCCATTAATAGTTATCTTCACAAGGCACAGTCATTTGACTATTAGCTGAGTGGAGGGAGGAAGACCAGAGCGCAAGGTTGGGCTGAGATTTGCAACCACATTCTCAACACCTGCTTGTGCCGGCAGGTGTAGCCGCCTTGCAATAAGCTTGTCTTGCAAACCACCAGTACATGTCCGCTGTGTCTATGAGATGGACACAGTAGACTTGTTTTAATTTGTGATTCAAAGTCTGCTTACAAGAGCAAAGTGAAGAATTGCTGATAGTTTCTGAGGTTTGTAGAAGGCAGAATGATTTAAGCTGAAGCTTGGAGACGAACATTAAAATGCTGAATCCGTTTAGCCACAAATTGGAAATAAAAATCCCCTTTATTTTTCTGGTTTTGATACCAACTGTAATGCTCCCACTGGTTGGGGCCAATATATCATTAGGAACCCAATTTTCCATAGCAAAGAAAAACACACAGCTGAAATGAGATCTCAGTAAATTCCCTTTTCGTGAAATAAGGGTATTGTCCCTTGTTTTGAGAAGGTAAGACAATTATCTGTTTTTCAAAATACAAAGACAAAAATACAAGGCAAATGATTTTATTTACCTGATGATATTAAGGACAAATACACTGATTTTAATATTTTACTCTTTTTAAATCAGTTTCAGCAGTGCTGTAATGATCATCTGACAAATTATTTGCTATAAAATCTAATTACCCTGAACACTAACACAGAAAAACTGGTCACACAGAGGTTTTCCAGTCCTAAACTGATAAACCTGAATGAGCTTCATTACGTCCACCTGCGTTTAACAGTCAGCTTGTGATTAACTCTTCGCTCTATCAGACTCTATCCACCTGTTTGTGGATTAATTACATCAGAAATCCAGCTGCTGTAGAAAGGCCTCAGACGGCTTTTAGTAAACATCAAAAAACAAGGAATACCACAAATAGGTGAGAGAGAACGATGGATTCTTTAAACCTTTATGTCTCCATATTTCTTTGTTAATGAAATGGACCCAACGCCCCCAACTAAGAGGTGCCTCTGCCCTCCATTTAGGTTTCGTGCTCGTCCCAGGGCCTCACCGTCTACGTACAGGATCGCTCCTTCCTGTGCTCCCGGAAGGGTCAGCTGCTGAGCGTCAGCGTTCGGGTCAGCGACTGGGTTTACAACGGCGTCCTGGTCTGCCCGGCCTGCACCGACTTCTGTGATGACTGCCCCCTGCCCCACCAGCTCCTGCCCATGAACACCTCCAGGAGCGAACCCATCGGTCAGCCGCTATCATGGCCACAGAATCAGGCTTTATTTAGAAACACTTAAGAAAACAAAACATTTATTTAAAAAACACCTGTTTATAAAGCTGGATTCTCTCTCTTTGTTGCCTTTAGATCCCTGCTCCAGTTCGCCTGGTCTGGCCATTACTCTCTGGCTCCTTCTGCTCAACCTGCTCCCACTAGTGGCTGGACTGCTGATCTGCCACTGCAGCTGATAAAACACACACATACACAAACACCCACATGTTCACAATAAGGTAGCTAAAACTCTACGGTACTGTAGCCCTCAGAGGTCTTGATGACACTCATCTTTCCTCCTCTTTATAGTTCTCCCTCCTTTTATCCTGAAACTGGAAAAACAACAATCCTGATACATCCTTGACTCCCTCTTCCTCCATTCTCAGCCCTTTTTTAACCTTGTTTCATCTCAGGATCTTCGCTCTTCCATTCCTCTTTTGGGGTTTTAAATGATACAACTCTCTGTGTCTCTCAGTGCTGTCTGCAGCAGAATGGTGTGTTTACATGCACTTCAAAAACCAGGTTACACTCAGCCTTCATGTAACTAAGAACCCGAGTCACTTTATTCAGGTTGGAGACGCCTGACTCACTCCTTTGCCTACAAACATGTTTACGCTTCTAAGAGCCAGGAGGTTATCTCTGCCTGGAAGAGGTACCGGTACGTGGATTTAGCGGCTCGTGTCGATACTCGCTAGCAAACTGTTCTTTCACAGGGATCCTGTCTTTGGTCGAGCATCAGATATTTTAGTTTGTAGCAGGCATGTTATAAACTAATACTTCTTTTCTAAAACTACAATTTCAATATACATATTTCTGTTTCAAAAAAGCACTTTTAATGTAGGAAAAAATCCAGATGGATTTTTCTTTATCGTTAATTGAGCAAAGTAAACTTTCTATAAAACCTTTGAGCTCCGTTCAGACCTGGAATGTGTTTCCATCCTGAACTGGTTCCAGTCTTGGATAAACCACAGCAAACATTTCGTCATGTGACAGCATGAGGCTTTGGACATAAATTGATCTGTGAAGGATTTGTTAGCATCAAAGATTCATTTAGACACTAACCTGTGTGAAACTCATCTGAGGGACATTTTTATAAAGTTTATGCTTCACAGATCTTTATTTTGTCATCTATATATTGAAGGAACTAAAGATTAAACTTTTCCACCTCAGACAGCTTCAATATCAGCGCACAGACACTAAAGATTTATACCCAAAAAACAGCTGCTCTGCGCACCTTTATTGTTGCACATTGAGCTACATAAAAGTGGTGGAATATTTATTGGATGGCTGCTATGCACCCTGTAATCAACTGACCAATCAAAGTGCTGAGGTGGTTCTGGCTTGAGTTTTTGGCCATCTTCTATGATCAGCCCCAATAGGACGTATCTTGATCCCAGATATGAATGTGCATTAGAGTTACACTGCTATTCTGTTTTGAAAACGACGCGTTCCTCAGATTTGTTGTGTTTCTTTCAAAAATCTCAGGCAAATCAATATTTTTGGTTTAATCTCAAAGAAAGCCCAAGTTCCTCATGCAGCAGATATCGTTTCTGAGAAAGATTTTAAGCTAATGTTCAAAAAGCATCTGGGATTCAGGGATTTTCTTGTTGTTTATGGCTCGTTCTAACCAGTAACTACAAAAATAGACTTAAAAATAGACTTAATAATAATAATAATAATGAGATACAAACCATTGGATTTGATAGTGAATCATTTATCCTTGCTTCTCAGTATTTTATAAGGACGGTAGCCATTTTAAATTAGAACTCTGAGTAGCTCATTTACCTGTAGCCTGACCTCATGAGGTGTTCCAGTTAATTTCCCTGACTGGGAACATTAAGGGTGCATGGTCACGTTAGATGCCTTTTTTTTACATTCAAACACAAGTAACTCACTCTGTTTGCTAAAAGATTAACTCGTCAGCTGGCCTATTGGTGTTTTGCTTTTTAAATTTTGTGCAGTGGGTTATTAGATATAATCCTTTGATTTTGATTACTATAAGATGGAGGCACTGTGCTGTGCAGGGAGTAAACCAGGAAGCAACCCACTATGGCTAAACCAGTTAGCACCTCCCAGCAAAGTGTGAAATGATAAAAAAAAGTCTAAGATTGATGTGAAAAAAAACTCTTTAAACATATTTGATTCCAGGTGTGGTTTTGTT